GGGGGGGGGCGAGCGGGGGGGGGGGGATGTACAAAGCACTTTGTATCCAGTTTGGTCAGGAACCCGATGGTGGAACACAATGCAGAAGCAGGGTGACCTCACATGACTACATGACTTCTACACACAGCAAATGGCGGACTTGGTTCGGGAGTGGACTTATCCCACACCCTGGATGTTGCAATGATGGTCCCTGAGAGGGATCAGGGGAGACTACACTCCCCAATGCAGACCCTACTTCCCCTACTCCCCATGCAGGCCCTACTTCCCCTACTCCCCATGCAGGCCCTACTTCCCCTACTCCCCATGCAGGCCCTACTTCCCCTACTCCCCATGCAGGCCCTACTTCCCCTACTCCCCATGCAGGCCCTACTTCCCCTACTCCCCATGCAGGCCCTACTTCCCCTACTCCCCATGCAGGCCCTACTTCCCCTACTCCCCATGCAGGCCCTACTTCCCCTACTCCCCATGCAGGCCCTACTTCCCCTACTCCCCATGCAGGCCCTACTTCCCCTACTCCCCATGCAGGCCCTACTTCCCCTACTCCCCATGCAGGCCCTACTTCCCCTACTCCCCATGCAGGCCCTACTTCCCCTACTCCCCATGCAGGCCCTACTTCCCCTACTCCCCATGCAGGCCCTACTTCCCCTACTCCCCATGCAGGCCCTACTTCCCCTACTCCCCATGCAGGCCCTACTTCCCCTACTCCCCATGCAGGCCCTACTTCCCCTACTCCCCATGCAGGCCCTACTTCCCCTACTCCCCATGCAGGCCCTACTTCCCCTACTCCCCATGCAGGCCCTACTTCCCCTACTCCCCATGCAGGCCCTACTTCCCCTACTCCCCATGCAGGCCCTACTTCCCCTACTCCCCATGCAGGCCCTACTTCCCCTACTCCCCATGCAGGCCCTACTTCCCCTACTCCCCATGCAGGCCCTACTTCCCCTACTCCCCATGCAGGCCCTACTTCCCCTACTCCCCATGCAGGCCCTACTTCCCCTACTCCCCATGCAGGCCCTACTTCCCCTACTCCCCATGCAGGCCCTACTTCCCCTACTCCCCATGCAGGCCCTACTTCCCCTACTCCCCATGCAGGCCCTACTTCCCCTACTCCCCATGCAGGCCCTACTTCCCCTACTCCCCATGCAGGCCCTACTTCCCCTACTCCCCATGCAGGCCCTACTTCCCCTACTCCCCATGCAGGCCCTACTTCCCCTACTCCCCATGCAGGCCCTACTTCCCCTACAGACCCTACTTCCCCTACTCCCCATGCAGACCCTACTCCCGCAGGTATTCCCTCCCTCCCCTGTCCGATCCTCCAGTGCTGACTGGCGGAAGGGGCGGGTACAGCTAGATAGGCAGAGCCAGCTGTCACTCACGCAGCTGGGTGGCTCCAGACAGTAATGTCGATATCCGCTCCGGCTGCGGCGGTCTCAGTATACCGCGAGCTGTAACTCCCTATATACTGAGCCTAGGGTGACGGGAGGACGCTTGTTTGTGTCCTCCCGTTACCATAACTATGGGGAAAAGCCCTGACCCCATAGTTCTCCTTTAACTGGACTACAACTAGGACTAACTTCTCAACAGGGTTTGAACTAGGACTTGCAAAGTTCATACTGCGCGGGGCATTGCGCGCGAGAACGTGAGGGCGTAGCGCGGTCACGCAATAGATTTACAGCACTGCCCATGCTACAAGAACCCTGACAGAAATACCTGAGAACCGGCAGGGGGATTCCTAATGCCAGCTTGGCTGCCACATACGCCAGGGGATATCCGGTGGCCTTGCTTGCCAGAGCCGAGCTGCGGGAGAGCCGAGCGTTCACCTCGATGATGTAATACTGTAAGGAGCAGAATATGAACAGGTGACACATTGATAATAAAAGTGACGCTCCATGTGAGAAGACGCTACAATGTACCCAATGACAACACGGGGCCGGGAGCCTAAATGTGTACAGCAAGGGGACCAATGGGGTGCTAGAGAACCCGGCCAACCCGCTACCATTATCACCACTGCAGGGATTGTCTGTACACGGATCCCCTTCCCCCTCCATCAGCCTAAGGAATGCTGGGACGACGTGACGCAGAGTCATTGGGTGACGCAGAGTCATTGGGTGACGCAGAGTCATTGGGTGACGCAGAGTCATTGGGTGACGCAGAGTCATTGGGTGACGCAGAGTCATTGGGTGACAGAGTGGCCCATGGGATGTCAAGAGACCGAGTCCAATGTAGCATGCACGCCCAACCGTTGTCCAACGTATAGTCACCCTAAAATATTAGGGGCAGCTACATAAGACCCCACAAGTCTGGATAACCAGCACACAGATCAGAAGAGCTTTGAATGTTGGGTTTATCCCGGGACCCCAGCGAGGCCCATTACCTGCTCGGAGTGCGGGTTCAGCGCATACTGGATGTTGCACTCTCCCACGATGCCCAGGTGCTGGATCACCTTGATGGCCGTGTTGCGTAGCATGTTGTACTCGTGGTCGTTCAAGGTCTGGCTGGGCGCCACCACTATGGACTCCCCGGTGTGGATACCCAGAGGGTCCACATTCTCCATGTTACACACCTGAGGACAGAGAGACAGAACCCCGAATTCTAAGAACCGACCAAATCCAAAGGCTCCGCGCGTCTGTTGGCACCCAGCGAGGTCGGCGAGGCGCGAAGACCTCCGCTTACCGTTACGCAGTTGTTGTAGGCGTCTCTCACCACCTCGTACTCAATCTCCTTCCATCCCTTCAGAGACTTGTCCACCAGGACCTGCGTGGTGTGGGCGAACGCCTGGCACACCAGGGTGGTCAGCTCCTCCTTCGAGTTGGCGAACCCAGAACCCAATCCGCCCAGCGCGTAGGCCGATCGTACCAAGACCGGGTAACCCAGACGTTCCGCAGCGGCCTGAGCCTGAGAGAAGTAGGGGGAAGGGAAGGAAGTCACAAAAGGTGGGAATTAAAAACAAGAATCAGAAGACAAGTCCTCCGATGTATAAATATGTCGGATATCAGAGGCGTCATCGGTCAGCAGTGCCAGGCCGCCATCACCCGATAAGAGTAAGGTGAAGATATGGGAGGCTATGCGGAGTCTCCACATGGAGGCGACCTCCCATGATCGGGTGCTCCATTACCTGCTCCAGAGAGTAGGCGGCCTCACTTGGGGCCACGTGTTCACCGATCTCCTCCATCTTCTCCACGAAGATCTTCCGATCCTCGGTCATCTCGATGGACTTCACCGGGGTCCCCAGCACACGCACATTGTACTTCTCCAGCACCCCGCGTTTCGTCAGCTCCACGCCGCAGTTCAGGGCCGTCTGGCCGCCGAACGTCAAGAGAACGCCGTCCGGCCTCTCGTTCTTGATCACCTGTCCAGGGAGTAGACCCGGTTAGCGGCGATCACCGGGAACATCACCGGTACCCTCGTCTCTGGCTACACCCACCTGTGTCACATAATCCGCTGTGATCGGCAGAAAGTACACCTTGTCCGCAAGGCCCTTGGAGGTCTGCACCGTGGCAATGTTGGAGTTGATCAGCACCGTTTGGATGTTCTCTTCTTTCAGCGCTTTGATGGCCTAGACAGAGAAAAAGGATTGTGGGGAGTCAGAGGATGTCCGGTCACCAAGAACTACAAAACAGCATTCTATGCCGACCGATAGAGTTATGTGATTGGAAGACGTGAAGACGAAGAGATATGCTGCAACGAACACCTTCACCACCTCCAGCCAGTGCCAACCTTCTATCCTTCACCTCTCATCCCCCAAACCCATGGACTCCTATTGATCCCCCCACTGCCCCACCTCTCTGCAGGGACTATGAATTCCCATGGCCACCAATTCCTCAGCTCCCGACAGCCCAGAACATGAGGTTTAGTCCATCGCTGGTAAAACCCGACCAGTGCTCATACCAGCAGGAGGTGCTCAGGCACAGGAAGTGATCATTTAAAGGAGAACTACGGGGTCAGTGTTTTTCCCCATAGTTCTCCTTAGGGTGACGGGAGGACACAAACTAGCGTCCTCCCGTCACCCTAGGCTCAGTATATAGGGAGCTACAGCTCGCGGTATACTGAGACGCCACAGCCGGGACATTACTGTCGAGATCCACCCAGCTGCGTGATTGACAGCTGGCTCCTCCTATCTAGAGGCAGAGCCAGCTGTACCCGCCCCCTTCGTTCCGCCAGTCAGCGCTGGAGGATCGGGGAGGGTGGGGGAATCCCTGCAGGGAGCCGTAAGTGACAGTCACTCTGCAGGGACGGGATCGAGAGGTGAGCGAGCGACGGTATGTGTTCCCTCACTTCCCGATCTACTGAGCCGACCTGTGACAGTCTCATTGTCACAGGCCGGCTAGAACTATGAGGAGTGAAGGAGAACTAGGAGGAGGAGCGAAGGAGGAGTGAAGGAGAACTAGGAGGAGGAGTGAAGGAGGAGTGAAGGAGAACTAGGAGGAGGAGTGAAGGAGAACTAGGAGGAGGAGTGAAGGAGAACTAGAAGGAGGAGTGAAGGAGAACTAGGAGGAGGAGGAGTGGAGAACTAGGAGGAGGAGGAGTGAAGGAGAACTAGGAGGAGGAGGAGTGGAGAACTAGGAGGAGGAGGAGTGAAGAAGAACTAGGAGGAGGAGGAGTGGAGAACTAGCAGGAGGAGGAGGAGTGGAGAACTAGGAGGAGGAGGAGGAGTGGAGAACTAGGAGGAGGAGGAGGAGTGGAGAACTAGGAGGAGGAGGAGGAGTGGAGAACTAGGAGGAGGAGGAGGAGTGGAGAACTAGGAGGAGGAGGAGGAGTGGAGAACGAGGAGGAGGAGGAGTGGAGAACTAGGAGGAGAAGGAGTGGAGAACTAGGAGGAGGAGGAGGAGGAGTGGAGAAGGAGGAGTGGAGAACTAGGAGGAGGAGGAGGAGGAGGAGGAGGAGTGGAGAACTAGGAGGAGGAGGAGTGGAGAACTAGGAGGAGGAGGAGGAGTGGAGAACTAGGAGGAGGAGGAGTGGAGAACTACGAGGAGGAGGAGTGGAGAACTACGAGGAGGAGCGAAGGAGAACTACGAGGAGGAGCGAAGGAGAACTACGAGGAGGAGCGAAGGAGAACTACGAGGTGAGTGATTTTCAAAGGGAACCTTTCCTTACACACATAGGGGCTGCCATTGCCAATCCTCTCCTGAAGGTGCTGACTGTCTGGCTGTGGGCTGAGGGTTCAGTAATGAGGAGTCACTGACATGGAAGAAGGTTGTTGGACCTTCTTATTCGCATGCTTGGTCCGCAAGGTATTGAAGCCAGAGGATAGACAAGGCAGCCAAGAAATTGGCATTTGCCGCATGTAGGTGTAGCAATGGCCGCCTGCATGTCCATCTCCGGGAAGGTTTCCTGCGGAGGAGATTTTACCTGGGATCCCGAGTAGTCGAACTCTCCAGCTTGGCCAATGGAGAGCCCCCCGGAGCCCAGGATCAGCACTTTGCGTGGTCTGCAGGCCATCATCTCCGACACGCTAGGAGAGTCCTTGTATGTGAGGATATCGTCCAGCCGCTGCTTCACTGGAGGGAGCAGAAGACACATATCTGTAATTATATCTGCTGCCGATTACCCGCCACCCACTATAACCGCCGTATACAGCCACCTGCCGTGGTGCCTACTCACCCGTGGCTCCTCCCACTTTGCCGGCCTTCATCTCCCGCACCGTGTCCAAGAAGACATCGAACAGACACACCAGGTCCATGGGGCCGGCGCGGTGCTCGGGGTGGAACTGCACACTAGAAGAGCAAACCAGGAGAAACCCCATAATGTCAAATGGCTACCACAGGCGCAAAGGAAAACCGCGAGGCACCACACGGAAAAAGTCCAAGACAACCGTTGGTACCCTCCTCCCCCAACCTATCACCAAACTGCCGAACAAAAAACACATTGAAGACAGAAGCTGCACCCACCTGAAGAACGGTTTGGAGTCATGAACGATGCCCTCATTGGACTCGTCATTGGCGTTGGTGAAGAGCGGTGACCAGCCCTCCGGTAAGGTTTTGGGGTCCACGGCATAGCCATGGTTCTGGGAGGTGATGAAGCATCTCCGGGTGCCCTCATGGATACACGGCTGGTTGTGGCCGCGGTTCCCGTACCTGCATGAAAGAACAGATCAGGGCGGAGTCCACTTCCACCAATACCCCGGGGGTGGCAATCCAGGTTCTCGGGCTCAGCGAATAGCCTTCACTTCTGCCACCAGCACAGACGGGTCACAGGTGGACCATTCATCTCCATCCTTCCCAGTGCAGCAAGGATAAAGCCAACACTATGACCAGACCGGTACCCATCCTTCCTATGGAACCATCGCACTGAGGATGGCTCCTTACAATCAGAAGGAAGGGGCCTACTCCATTACCGTCACTCAACCTATATGTGGCCCCCAGCATGCCCCCAATGGGTTTAACACACTGAAGACAGAAGCTGCCAAGCCGGCCGCAGCTCCCGCCCACATGCCAGCCGGCCGCAGCTCCCGCCCCACCCACACTCCCGATGGAAGCGGCATATCCTCGGCCAACTTTCGACACCGCGAACGGCAACAGCACGCCACCTTGCGGGACCTCGTCCAGTCCTGTGAGTATTCCTCCCCCAGCCCGGTAAGACATCCCCCGAAAATAAGAC